TTGATCTCAATAAATTGATGGATCAATGGTGCTTCTATGTTGAATTATGTGTAAAGCAATTTTCAACTCAACTTCTCTATAGTTATCTTATAAAAACTAAAAGAATATCAGAACAAACAACGTCGTTGTAAAGAGATCACAGTACATAAATAAAACACATAGACAAATGACAAATCCATCCATCCAACCAAGAAAGTAAGTTTATTGATCAAAATATATAATTAAAGGACATTAATATAGGTAATTTCATGGAATAACATTAATTTTTAGGGGGTGAAGTATACTGATCCTTGTGAAGATGCATATGGTGGCGATGGACTTGCCCCAGATGGTGGTGATGGGCCTCTTGGTAACATTGGAAGAATATATGAAGATCCATCTCCAGTACTGCTAATTCCTTGTTGTGATACAACTTTGAATGTTAGCCTTTCACTGTTTGAAAGATTGGCAGACAGAGTAAGCAAAAGCATCAAGGCAAATATGAGATTGGATTTTTTCTTAGTGATAGACATGGTTAAAAAGTAGAGATTTTTTGAGAATTGTCTAACTTCTTTTTCTTGGTTGATTTGAAGGTTTAGTGAGACCTCCTTGATGTTGTTTATATAGTGTCAAGCACTGGTGTAGCCAAGAATTAAACGAAGGATATACAAATAAAGGGGAAAAAATTGAAGGGTGTCCAAAAAAAGAAGAAAAACAAAGGGTGTCCAAAAAAAGGGAAAAAGATTGCTGCTAGTGAGATTCATAGGAATTTTACGAAGGGTGTTTAAAAAAGGAGGAAAAAAACGAAGGGTGTCAAAAAAAAAGAAAAACAAAGGGTGTCCAAAAAAGGGGGAGAAAATTGCTACTAGTGAGATTTGATAGGAATTTCACGAAGGCTATCCCAAAAAAAGGGAAAAAACGAAAAGTGTCTATAAAATAGAGAAAAAATTACTGCTAGTGAAATTCAAAGATATAAGCTTAGGGCTCTTTCAAGTACATCTAAAATCACTAGGCCACTGGCGTCAAAGTTGTCAAACTTACTGGAGCGGTGAATCTGTGGAATTTAATACTAGTACATCCTTTCTATTTTATGGAAAAAGTTTTTGTCCATGAATAAGACAATTATAAGTATCAAATATATACTTTTAGTGAGTGGGGTTGGGGGTTGGGGGCTGGGGGGAGTTTTATTTGTCTTTAAACTATTTGTTTTCTATAAAAAGTAAAGTTTATCTTAGCAAAGTTCAAGGAATCATGTCATTTAACAATAAAATAAAATATTTTACTTATCTGAATTGATATGATATTATTTCCCTTTTTAGTTCATTTTAAAATGATACATTTTTATATTTAAATTTTATTTGATCATAGTTTCGGAATTGAAACTCAAGCAATTAAGTTTTTGAAGTTGTAAATTTTGAAATTTGAAGATTTATTTGGACATATGTATTTATTTGGGAAAAAAATAAGTTTTGTGAGTGAGTGAAATTCCTTTCAAATATTGATAATCAAAGTTTGAAAATTTGATCAAATTTTATGGTCAAATAAATAATTTTTTTTAAAAAATCTTATCTAAAATCTATGATCAAATCTTAATGAGATAATTTATAATCACACATATTTATGACTTATTTTGAAATTAGGGCTATTCAAAATCGAACTGAAATCGATAACTCGAACCGAAAAAAAAGATTGGTTTATCAATAATGAGTTACTAGTTCAGTGATTTTGATAACAATTTTGATTTTTTTTGTTATTGGTTCTTAACGGTTTGAGGTTTTTTCTTAACGGGAACCAATAACTTGATAGTAAATTAAATAATTATATTTATGTCATTTTTGTATAAAGTCCCTGATTTAGAGTTTGGTTACCTACTTTTGGTTGTCTCAAACTCTTGGTTATTCTACAATGTAAAAGTGTTTGCTTTTGAGCAAGATGTAATTTGTGAAGTCATGTGCATGATTCATTTGGTTTGTCACCTTGTTTCTAAGTGTTTTTCAATGTTTTCTTTTTATGTCAAATCTTAATGGTTAAACCGATAACGATAAATAACCGATAAGTCAATATCTTAATAGTTCTATAACGGTTTAGCATATATACAAACCGATCACTAATAAGCTAAACCGATAAACTTCAAAGTCAAATCGAACTGACTGATACACAGCCCTATTTAAAATACAAATTTCAAAAGTATTTCTTTCCTCCTAAAATTTTACACAGTCAAATACCTTCTTATAAATTAAGACAAAAAATTAAAATAAATAATTTTTTAACAAATTAAAATGGGGAGTGTGTGACATAATATATTACTCACATAATAATGAGCAAAAAGAAGTATCAAACTTAAATTTGGATTTAGTGTGAACAAATTTTAGCATTTATTTGGATACAATAATCTGATTATTAATGGACAGCTAGATACTGCACTTGAAACAAATCTGATTTTGGATATGACAAGATCGTCTTTGCTGAATGGTTGTGCCTCGAGGGTTATGTTGCGTTATGACGCATCATCAAACCTTCTTTTCTTTAGGAAGTGGTAGGTGGTGGCTACGGGGTGTGATGCAAGCGAGATTGAATTTAGGTCGATTAAAATTGATCGAGTCAATAAATAAGTAGATTATTGATATATATGCTTAAAAATTACTTAGGTTGAAATAGGTAAAATAATTAAAAATGGTTATGTTCTTCTCATTTGTAAGGTGCGCAAAAGTTGATACGAACATCACGTTCGTATCTTAGAGAAATATTCTAGAAAAGGGAAATTTGAAAGAGGCACAACATACACTTTACGTATATTTCACATATAGTTGACCAACATTATAGTTTGAACTTTGAGAACATATACGTACAATTGATCGTACATACATCCAACTTGTGCTTTGAGAATACATACATATATACACAATTGGTCACACATATATACACTTACAGTTGCAATCAAATATTGTATCCTTGAGATCTCAAGTAGGATTAGATTTTACAGAAGTGAGTGATAATAGCGTTATTTATGGAAATTTAACTAGAGCTCAATTCGTAAAGTGTGATTATTGAATTTTTTTGTCTTTAATCTCTTTTTAGGATAGTTATGTAGTATATTCATCTTCTATTATGAGAACGCATACATACATATATATACCGTTGATTACACATATATACACATTCAGTTATAATCAATTAGTGTAGCCTTGCTATTCAATTAGGATTATATTTTGCAAAAACGAGTGTTAATAGCGTTATTTAGGAAAATTTCCCATTAAAATTTAACTAGGCCTCAATTCGTGAAATATGATTATTAAAAATTTTCGTCTTTAATCTCTTTTTGGGATAGTTATGCAGTAATTGTTATGGTTTTGCCCTGATTTTTTTAATCTTATTTGAAGTTTATTTTTGAGTAAAATTTAGGTTTAGCAAACATAAAAATCATATTTTTATGCTATAGCTATAGTTTGTATAATTGCGCTATTAATATGTATATTTCGGTATACATATACAAAAAAATCAATTGTATAATCTGTGTTTGTATAAAACAAGAAAGAGAGAAAGACAAAAGAAAACTGGGCAGGGGAAGCTCTGTATTTGTATAATTATAAGTGTATAGGACGAAAATATATGTATTTATATATGCAATTTTTTCTCGCTTTATACATATACAAACGCAATTTATACAATTATGTTTGTATAAAGTGAGAGTGGCGAGCGAGATTCTCTGGGGAGAGAGTCGAACAAAAAGATATGTATATATACAGTTTTCTCTCGTTTTATTCAAACACAAACATAATTTATATATTTGTGTTTGTATAAAGTGAGAGAGGCAAGAGAGACTACCGAGCGAGATCAGGAGAGTGGCAGCGAGATTCGCTGGGGAGAGAGGCGAATGGCAACTCTTTGCTACAGGTTACAATTAAATGAAACCGTGGTTATATCATTTAATTTGAATTAATAGTTTGCTATTTTATACAATTTTCCCTTTATTTTTTTTTCCTTAAAAGAAAAGTCAAAGTATTACTATAAATGCTTGAACTTTTTCCGAGAGGAAAATATAATAAGAATCCACAATGTAGTCGTTTAGAGAGTCTTGTTTATGGGAAGATTTTACTCTCTCCAGTTTTAATGTCTTTTTATTAGTTTTTAAATATGTATGCCAATTGGCCAAATCATATAATAATATTTTGATTTTTAGTATAAGCTTTTGTCATCTGATCTATCAACCATATGATATGCAGTTGTAAGCTTCCTAATGATGTCCTAATCACTTTCGAACCCAACAGTAATATATATATATATATATATATATATATATATATATATACCTTTAAGATCATAATCTTAATTTTTTTTTTAAATTGAAAAATTATTTTTAAAAAAACTTTAGATTACAATATAGAATTTTGTAAGTTATTTTAAACATTATATCACAATCTAAAATCTTATAACTTATTACAAATATAAGGTAATAGGTAATATTTTGTTTTTAAGGTTGAACTTTATATGATCTGAGTAAGTATCAAACCCAAATTTAATATTGTCAAAAGGATAATTTTTCAAAAATTATATTTGCACAAATTTTAAAAATAGAAATAAAATCTTAATAATATACTAAATAGGTAAATCAACCATGTGATTACATTGTATTTCCTCTATCTAACTTTATTTGTCAAACATATTAAAAATAATTGTCCAACTTTACTTATTTAAAAAATTAAAAAATATTTTTTCTATTTTATCTTTACTATTAAATAATTATTTTTTAATTATTAAATAATTTATAATTAATAGAGGTAATATATAGTAAAAATAAACGGAGGAGTACATATTATCCCTCTTGAAGGGAGGAGGAGCGTGAGCACGGTGTTAAATCAGGATTTAACCACCGTTTATGACCCAATTTTTAGCCTTTAAATCAAAATCGGAGCGTCAATTCGAGCCGTTTAATATCCAACGGCCACGATGGAGCGGACAATCCAACGTTTGATTTCTCTGTCCCCAACGGTCAAAAACTTGAAAATACAAAAAGGCTCAAACAATTTTCCCCAATTCAGAATCAACTTTTCTCTCCATCTACATCAAGAAATTTTCAAGATTCATCTTTTTTGTTACTTCTTTTGTGAAATTTTTTGAAACCCATTTGTGAAAAATGAGTGTTTTACAATACCCAGAAGGGATTAATCCAGCAGATGTTCAGATATGGAACAATGCTGCTTTTGATAATGGCGATTCTGCAGATTTTTCTTCACTGAAACGTTCTTGGTTAACGGATTCCTTTGAATCTGATGTCTCAAGCAAGGAGAATCAGACTCCTCCTTTTGAGAATTCTTCATCTGTTAATCTGTCAATTTCGATGCCCTTAAACCCAAATGGGGCTCTGGAGAATTCAAGACTCAATCTAAACAAGTCCATTTCTAAACAGAGTGTTGATGAGATGAGTATGGCAAGTAGAAAGAGTGGAAAGGATAGCGATTTCCGCGATGAAAAGAGGATTGATGAGGAAATTGAAGAAATTGAAAAGGAGATTAGTAGATTGAATTCGAAATTAGAGGTATTGAGAATTGAAAAGGCGGAAAAAAGTTTCAAGATTGTTGAAAAGAGAGGGAGGGTTGTGCCAGCAAAGTTTATGGAGCCAAAAATGAGTGTTAAGATTGGAGAGGAGAAGAAAAAGATTGATGAGAGTTCATCAATGAGTGCAAAAACAAAGGTGCAGACAAGAAGGGGTCTTAGTTTAGGACCATCTGAGATTTTCGCTGGAACGCGTAGTCGAGGGTTGAGTATGGGGCCATCAGAGATTTTTGCAGGGACAAAGGCAGGGAAATTGGGAAAGCAGGAAATGATTACACCTGTTCAGCCAATACAAAACAGGCGAAAGTCTTGTTTTTGGAAGCTTCAAGAGATCGAAGAAGAAAGGGGAAAAAGTTTAAGCCTTAGTCCCAAATCAAGAAAAGCTGCAGCAAGAACTATGGCTTCAAGGCAGGCAGTTACTACAATTGCATCAAAGAAGAATCTGAAGAAGGATGATGCATTTCTGAGTTCAGTTCAGCCAAAGAAGTTATTCAAAGATGGCGAAAAGTCTGTTCCTGCTAGCAAGAAGCCTCAGAGGCCAGGGAGGGTTGTGGCTAGTAGGTACAATCAGAGCACAAATCAGTCATCAGTAGTGAGAAAGAGGTCTTTACCTGAGAATGATAAGGATGAGACTAAGAGAAATGAAAAGAAACGATCTTTATCGGTAGGGAAAACGCGTGTATCACAAACAGAAAACAAGAATTTGGCTACTGAAAGCAGGGTGAAAAAGAGATGGGAAATTCCTAGTGAGATAGTAGTCCATGCTAGTACAGAAAGTGAAAAATCTCCACTGAGCATTACTGTGAAGCCTGATTTGCTTCCTAGAATTAGGATTGCTCGGTGCACCGTCAATGAGACTCCCCGGGATTCTGGACCTGCCAAAAGAGTGGTAGAGCTGATAGGCAAGAAATCATTTTTCAGCAATGAAGAAGATAAGGAGCCATCAGTCTGTCAAGTTCTCAGTTTTGCCGACGAAGATGCTGAAGAGGAATAATGTGAAATAAGGGGAGCTCACCCTTTTCATTATGATCTTTATATTTTCAGTCCTGCCTTTTAATTTTTGTTCATTCTTATCTGAGGCATACTAGTATTCTAGCTTGTTTGGTACAATATGAATAAGGCTTTGTGTTGCAGTATGTGGCCTAGTTACTTTTACTAAGGAAAATGTTGGACATTACTATTGCTTCCTCCTTGTTATATATAGGTTGTTGTTTCAGCTGTTTTAGAATTTTGCAAGGGAAGAAACTTACTTCTGTGCTTCATAATTCACTTTGATGATAATATAAGAGCTCATGCTTGAGGCAAATTAATGACTTAAGATTTCAATTACATGCTGCACTCCTCTATTTGGAAAAGTCTGTATGATGGACCTTATGTCCTTCAGGGTCAAAAGGACAATGTTGGCTTGTTGGTTAGGTTCCTCGTTTTCGCCCCACCTATAGGATTTCACTGGTTTTGTTGTTGTTGTCCTTACAGTGTCTCATGATGGAAGTTGTTGCATCTCAGTGACTTAGTCTTCCCTTGAGGTTCTTATGCTACTTTATTTTTTTAGCCATCTCCTAAATCTTGTAACTAATATCATCTTCATACTTACCCCCACCCTCACCCCGAGCAGCTTCTTAAGGTATAAGCGGCAGAAGCATTTTGGCAGTTGAAGTCAATTTAACTCTGATATTAGTGTTTCTCCAGCCTAGATTTGTGTACCCTTCCCCTTGGAGACTTCCCTACATTATTGGTGGTGGCTTAATTGATAAAGGACTTTTGTTTATCTTTTGTGTGTTGGTATTGTCATTGGTGGTGGTTTCATTCATAACAGATTTTTTCTCTTATGTTCTTTGGTGTTTGCTTATTTCATTTTTTCGAGTTTGGACAACAGGTCTAGTTTTACTCCCTAGCTTCTTCATGTTGCCCGGTCTGCATAGACATCTTGTGATTAATCATCGCTACATTTCTGTTGTGAAATGCAATTTCTCTTTCAAGGGACAAACTTCTACAGCTCTCTAACTTAAGGATGACAGTCATATAATTCAGTTTATTTCACTTCCATATCTGTCTAATTTCTTCTTTTTTCATTTATACTTTAAACTTACTAAACTCAGGGCTGCATCATTGGACTTTAAAAGTTCTTCTGTACATTACTTCAGAACTACTTATCTTCTTAATTCTTATACTCAACCAAGCACTAGCTTTCTCATCTTCATCCTTTTGAGTTCCTTAACTTAGGATAAGTCATTTTCAGTTTGCAGTTGATGTCAACTGTTGCATACCTTTTAAGATGCTTCTCTTGTTGTCAAAGAAGTATCAAGCTATGTTGCTCGGACTCTCCAACATTGCTGCGCACCTATGTCGGATTCACCAAAATGCAGTAACTAGCTTCTCTTTATGTTATATGAATTCCATATTTCCATATGCTATAGGCAAATGAGTCATCTCCAGAAACTGGATTTCCCAAAGAGTTGGTCATTTGCTAAGATCCATGAACAAGCAAAGAGCTTTTGTCCCTATATTTTGTCCATGAGGAAGCAATTCTATGAAATATTTCTGGAGATTCATCAAGTGTAGGACAGTAGGAATCCCATGTTGCCATAGGTAAATAATTTTTCTGCAGAAACTAGATGTCACAAAGAACAAGTCATTTGAAATCCATGACCAAGTAAGAGCTTTTAATCCTACATTTTGTCAATGAAATATGTATTTGAAGTTATGTAGCTCAACACCCTCTAATACATGTAATTTAATCGCTCGACACATTATATAACTCAACAAACTCTTACAACAACAGTAACTACGCCTCAATCTCAAACAGATAGGGGAACTCCACAAACTCTTATACGTAAAGCTTTCCCTTGAGATTAGCACATCTTGAATACAGACTTGTGAGAGTTAGAAAGTACATGTAAGCAATACTTTGTATTTAGTTTAGTGTATATTTATAGGTGTAAAATAGTTATCCACCGACGGGATATTAGTTAATCTCAATAGGGAATATCACTAATAAAATTATAAACTCAGTCTTTAATCAGTAGTACTATCTATCATATGAAATGGACTGAGAGAGGTAACATGGTTTGAGTCAACGCTGAAAATACGAAACTAATATTATTTGCACATTTAAGTCAAAACAAATATTATTTGCACATTTAAGTCGAAACTAATATTATTTGCACATTTAAGTCGAAACTAATATTATTTGCACATTTAAGGTTGGCCATTTTGTCCATAATTAATTTGAAATAGCGAATGTGAATTGTGATGTTAGCATTTTTATTTGAGACCAATAAGGATTGTGTAACAAACTCAATTCCAGCAGAAGCACTCTTATATATATTAATCACTGAATACAAGTTATAATGTAGAATACGCACAACAAAGTAATAATACACTAACTAAGGAGAGATAAATCGAGAAAGAAGTAACCAGAAAGGGATGAGATACAAGACCATAGAAAGGAGATGAGAGGATCAGAAAGCCAAAGCTTCACATAATAGTTTTTCATAACCATTCTTCTAACTCCTAGTCCTTTTTAACAAAGTGTAAATGGGCCTGAATCCCAAATAAAACTGGACCTATTGCTTGATTTCGGCCCAATAGCTCTTGTCAGCCCAATAACTACTTGTGTGACCTTGATATCGATATTGGGTTGGACTTGGTTCATAGCAATACTCTCGTCCTCAATAAGAACCTTGTCCTCAAGGTTTGAGTAAAGCCACACGGATAATATAATGTGGAATCTTTCAAGACTTGAGTGTGTGTAAAGCGCTGCAATAGTGGTGTGAAGTTGAAACCAAATACTGTCAACTTCCAGAATAGAGGAAACAATTTCATTGCCTTTAAAGCATTCCATATTACCAAGTACCATCACAGAAGCCATAATTCTAAGAATTGCCATCTGCTCTTTCTTGCTAAGCCTAATAATTCCCAATACATTCTTTATATTAATATAGTCATGAGCATTCATAATACTTGCTATTTCATAGCAATAAGACTGTTTAAGATAGAAAGATGATTCGGGATCCCTCAATCTACACTTCTTGTTTACCTCCATAGGTGTTTCACATAGAAAGGAGAAACATTGATGGTTCTGTTCAAGAATTATAACAAGGAAAGTTTGAGATCTTGCAAGGATAGAGGGTTCTCATGGCTGCACCAGATGCTTTTCCAAGCTTTGCAAGCTGAATATGTTTTGCTACAGTGCATTCTTCAACACGTCTATGACCACTGAAATAGGCAAGATAGCACATAAGCCTCATTATAGGTTTAAACTTTCCACAACTAACCAAGATAGAAGTGTTTTTACTCTCAACGAGCATCGACTTGTGAACAATATAATCATCAACAATTGAAGCATCTTTAACCAACTCAACCTCACTATAACTCATAGACAAACTCCAATGATTATTTTCACAAGCTTGGAATGCTGTAAATTCATACAGTGAAAAATTAGGAGGGAAGTCAATAATTTTATCACCCAAATCCAAAGCGTCACGCATTATCAAAATAATGAATCCATCAGCACCATATCCAACAAGAATATGCTCAAATTCAAGGTCGGGACCTGTAGCATAACTAGCTAGTACACCCTCAGCGCCAAAAAAAAATCATGATCTCCTCAAACATAGAGAAATTATGTAACTCATGCTCAATCAAGCTCATCGTGGACTTGATACAGCCTTGTAGCCCTCCTGTGAGTTGCGCTAATAGTCGTTGTAGGAATCGAAATAACTTGGGAAGACGTATAATATCCAAAGGTGCAATTGGTTGGATCTCCCGTAATGCAACTCTTACGAAACTATCATCAAACACACGATTCACCTCAGAGTATGTATCATGTACTTCCGATTCCATCATTACCATCTCATCTGCAACAGCCCACTGACCAAAACTTTGTTGTCCGGGATCCCACACTTGAGTTGGAGAATTAGCATAAGCAATGAAACAAAACATGTTAGTATATCCCAAGGACTGTAATAGATCCACGTTCATTGTATCTGTACAACTCGTTGGATCCATGGAGTTAAAACTTATTCCTAGATCCCATACACAAACATTCGTCGCAGTTCCATGAACAAAGACAAAAGAGGAATTCACATTAGGATTAAATGAAAATTGACACAAGATATTGTGAGCATTGAATCCATCTGTAGATATTCCACGCTCCACAACAAGCATCATTTCATTTGAAGGCATGGTACTTGGTGGAATGTTATCCTCAATCTTTAGAAAAAAACTATCGAGATATAGATCATTAATAGTCTCAGGCTCCAAGGAAAACTTCGGAAGATATCTGTCACCAAATGTCTCAAATGCAATTTTATGTTTACTAGAGCTAAGATCCAGTGAAGTAGCAGTAGTATTGTACCTCTTTGACATATCTCTTCGGGAACATTCATCGAACACTTGGACTTTGCTGTGTTCAGGACTTGGAGATTCTTCATAAAGCATTTTGATTGGAGTTTCGGTTTGCACCTCTGTGACTACCATGGGGCAGCAACTATGAAAAAATTCGTTGAGAGACTTAAGTGGCTGAATATCTTCCAAATCGGAAGAAGTTTCCTGTACTTCTTTAGTGAAAACTCTGGTAGGCATTTCGTCGAATAGAATGTCCACATGACTTGAATGTTCAACAATAAAAGTGCCAAACAACTCTGGATGACTCTCAACATTATCAACACAGTTTGAGTTTTCTTCGGCCAAAGGAGAAGAAATCTCTCTGCTAACAACTGTAGCAGCACTAATCCCGGCATCTTCTACTAGCACCTGTGGAGATATAAACGAACATTTGTCCTCCAGCTTCTGTAGCAAAGCAAGAATTCTGGTAATTTGAGTGTCCACCACAAAAGACTTTGCATCGGTTCGTTTCCAAAAACGCAAGGCTAACTTCTTCTTAAAATGATTCCAATCAAAAAATTGTTTGTTGCGAAACATCCAACGAAACCACTCAAGGGTCTCACCATCAAGATAGAAGGAAGGAAGAGGCAACCACTGTTCCTCGCAGAAGCCTAGAAAAGTAAAGTACCGCTCCGCCCTATAGATCCAGTCCTCTGGATCAGTGTTGCCACTAAATCGATCTAACACCACCACTTCCATTAGAGTACGTCGATGAAAGCACCAATGTAACAAACTCAATTCCAGCAGAAGCACTCTTATATATATTAATCACTGAATACAAGTTATAATGTAGAATACGCACAACAAAGTAATAATACACTAACTAAGGAGAGATAAATCGAGAAAGAAGTAACCAGAAAGGGATGAGATACAAGAAAGAAGATGAGAGGATCAGAAAGCAAAGCTTCACATAATAGTTTTTCATAACCATTCTTCTAACTCCTAGTCCTTTTTAACAAAGTGTAAATGGGCCTGGATCCCAAATAAAACTGGACCTATTGCTTGCTTTCGGCCCAATAGCTCTTGTCAGCCCAATAACTACTTGTGTGACCTTGATATCGATATTGGGTTGGACTTGGTTCATAACAGATTGTTGCAAAGTACTAGTAAGTATTCACTCTTTTATTTTTAATCAAACGAGTCTCCTTGGATACAAACTCGCCTTTGTTAGGGAACTTTTACCTTTAAAGTGGAAATTTTTTATATAAATTCAAATTTAGTCATGCCCCAATACACATATCAAACATGGGTAAAAAAAATATTTTTCATAAATAATAATTTCCCCTAGCAAAATTTCAACTTTTTCAAGTAATCTTATTTAAATAAAATTTCAATTCTAATTATTTTTTTTCAGGTTCAACCAAATAAATATTGAAACGCCTACATATTACATATGTAAAACTCTACACATTTAATCATAAAAACATAATTTTAATTTTTTTAACCATTAGATATAGGCAATAATACACGTCGTCTCCAGTCCTTCTACAGCCGAAAATGCGAGCGAGGGTTTCTCTTTAAGCTCTTGAGACACCATGAAAATTAGGGATTTTAGGGTCTTCCCCCAATTCATTCAATCTACAATTTCGACACTTAATGCTTAAAACCCTAATTTGGGTTTCATAAAACCCCTAAAATCTCTGCAGAAAAGATGGTAGCAGCTGCTTTAAATGGCAGAGCAAAACTGACCACTTTAACTTTCCTATTATGCCGTTCTTGTTTTAATCGATTGAACTGTAGTGTTGCTGTTGGGTTACACTCTTCTGCTAAAGGATTTCGGGCATTCAACACATTGCATCACTGTGGAAATTTCATTCTTGATGTGAGTATTATTCTTTTGGGTTATTTAGTTTCTTTACCTGAAAATGCATACCCCTCCGTTTCAGTTTGTTTGTCTTTTTGACTTAATACAGAGTTTAAGAAAGGAAAGAACACTTTTTTTTGAATCCTTTGGTCTTGAGCTAAATATATGTTGAATTTACCAAACTATCCTTTAATCTTATGGTCGTAAGCATGTCATGTGTTGAAGAGTTGCCGATAAGGAAGAGTAAGTCAAACAAATTGTTTTTTTTTTGACAAAACTAAGTCAAACAAATTGAAATAGAGGGAGTACTAAATGCTTATTTTATTGATTGTTGGGGGAATAAACAAAGAGGCGAAAGGGAACATACATGATGTGTAAAGGTCCTTTGCCCTTTATATTTTGGAGTGGTTGAAGCTTGACAAATTTAGTGTATTTTTTCTTATTTATGAAAGAGCACAGTTAGATAGGGGATGTTCTTTTTTGTGCAAGTGTGCTAAGCGTTATTGTTATTATTAGTAACCAGCCAAAAGAAATGAACTTTGACTCAAGCTGGCCCAGGTCCAATAATCCAGGTTTTTGATCTTTAGTAAGAGACATGATATATGAGAATGTCATTTGGTAATGGTTGTTTGCAGTTGTTATCTTTTCTTTTTTTCATTTGGTAATGCTTGTATGCAGCTTTAATCTTCTCCTTCATTTTTTTTTGGGTAGGGAATGGGTTAGGGTTGGTGTTTGCATGTCAAATGGGAGTTGGTTAAAGTGATTGAGTTATAAGCCTTGAAGTTTATCTGTATGATCTAGTTCATGGAAATAGATTTCAAATCATCTCATGCAAAGTTTGAACTAGGAAGCTATGAACTGTATTTTGTACTACAGAGGCCTGTTTGAGTATATGGGTTGGTAGTTAAGTCTCATTTCACAATTAACTCAGAGAACTCAACTTTGAGATTGGGAAACTTTTTTTGCAACACTTAATTAAGAGATTATATTTCTTTTGACTCTAGTCCTGTTGACAATCTTGGGTCACTTGCTTTATCTATTTCTATTAGGGAAGTACAATCTTTTCTTTGGTCGTTTAATGTTGTGATTTACTGCTAATTTCTAATACAGAATTGTATTAAATCCATCCCAGTTGGAGTCCTCCTCAATTGGCCAACTTTTGCCCCTAGTATTTTTGGCTGCTGCCAATCATTCTCAACCCAGGCATCCCCCGCTGAAATTGTGGATGATGTGTTGGCAGAAGTTCTCTTGGTTATGGCCAATTCTCAAAGTTCAGGAGAGGAACTCTGTGCTACATATATTGATAAGTTTTGCAATGACAGAAATCTATCAGGAGCCATTAGGCTAGTGAGGACCTTGCATGATAAAAATATCCCCCTCCGCCCTAGTGCACACAATCGCCTTCTGAAAGCTGCAATCGAGGAAAACGATATTGGCCTCCGATGTCAGTGTTTCAAGGATCTGTTAGTATCTTGCAAATCTCTGAATTCATCTACATATCTTATCTTTGCTCAGGCATTTATCAAAGAAAATGATGTTCCCTGCTTACTAAGATTTATCCGGGAGATTTCGGAGTTGATATTTCCAAGTAGTACTACAGTTATGAATAGGATCATCTTTGCCTTCGCTGAATGTGGACAGATTGACAGGGCCTTGCTGATTTTTGATCAGATGAAGAGTTTGAAATCCAAACCCGATGTGATCACATATAACACCATTTTGGGAATCTTAGGGAAGTGTGGTAGAATAGATGAAATGCTTAATGAGTTTTTGGCAATGAAAGAGGATGGGCTAATTCCTGATATTGTTTCTTATAATACCTTAATTACTGGATTGCGAAAGGTTGGCAGGCTTGAGTCGTGCTTAGTATTTTTCAGGGAGATGTGTGAGAGAGAAATTGAACCAGATTTGCGAACTTATAGTGCTTTGATTGACAGCTTCGGAAAATCTGGTAATATTGAAGAATCTCTGAGACTTTTTAATGAGATGAAGCACAAGGGTATCTGCCCATCAATTCATGTTTACAAATTACTGATTAGTAATTTAAAGAAGATGGGTAAGTTTGAGTTGGCTATTGCCTTTTCAAATGAGATGAAGGAATCAATCTCAAATCACCATGGGTCAAACTATAATCGACAGAAAAACAGATAGTATAGCAGTGCAAAATTGATCATGGACTCCGGTTGAGTAATGTTTACAAAGAGCATCAGTTTGCTGCATGCTGTTGCCGGCTGCTGCTGCTATCTTCAACAAGAAGGGATATGCTGTGGTATGTATTTTCATAGAATATATGTTCTCTCCAACTTAAAATGGATCTGCAGACTGGTGTATGTTCATAGTATATGATTCTATTATTAAAGGGACAACTTCTTGTTTGGAATTATTGCCGTGCATAACGAAGTTTAAAAAGATCTTCTTTTGGTTACAGGCCAGTAAAGTTGAAGAACCATAACCAGCCATCTGGTCCAATCATAGGCTGACTTCCCCACATTCGATGGTTGGATCTCTGAAATGACTACACACCTGAATTTTTCAAAGTATTATTCCTTGTGGGGTTCTCCTTAATATGCTCTTATCCTGCATGAAAAGGGAGAAGTGATGCATCTAGTTGATGTTTAATGGTGTAAATATCAAATTATTTTGTGGATATTGTAACCTCATTTATAGTTTGGTGCATCATGTAAGTGGTGTAAAAGGGTTTCTCTACTATCTGAGCTCCTTTTTTTTAGCAGAATAAACAGAGAGATATTACAATTGTATGATGTGTTTCATCCACCTTTACATGAAAAAAATAATCCATTTTTCTTGTACCTCATTGATGTGCTTTCTAGTAATCAATGATCAATCTATAGAATACTTGCAAGTAATGGCAGAGCCACGTTCAATTGATCCCTTTCTGTAGAAAATTGTACAGTGAAGTTCTTTTTACACTGTATTGTTTGTTGAATCCCAGAAACACAAGAGAAGCTTGAAGTGCAGTGAGAAAGAGGCTAAATATATCAGTTATCCGACTCCAAACTGTGACATTTTTGCACTATTTTTGAATCTCTTTGTTTTCATTTCTGCTTTCGGCCCCTACTTGCAAGCAGTGAAATGCTATTACCATAAGAAACAAGTCGAACTATACCCTTTGCAAGTGCCAGAAAGGCTGGTAGAATTCTAAAGAATACTGATGAAATATTACTTGGAACCAGGAAGTTGGTTACGGAAATACAATCCGAACAAGATTTCTCAACTACACTAATAAGAAGAGCTCAATTACAGTATTTAAAAAGCAATAAATCCAGATTTGTGATGTTGTTTCAGATTCTGCTAGAATCCCTCCCAAATGTGGAGCGCCTTATCCAATCAGATACCACCAACACCCTTGTACGCCAACTGACTAGCTTGCTGAAATATGAAACCAAACACATTAATGTGATTACTGGAAAAACGTACTCGCACTTGGTGTTCAAACCAAACAGATAGAGCAAGACAGATGTCATATACACAAACTTATATATTGCCTGGTTTGATGTAAACACTGGGTACAGTAATTTGACAAGACTTACCTTGCATATACTGAGTACCAGAGCCACTGAGTGCTGTGACCTATTGAAACCCAGTCTCCAGGGAGTTGAGCTGCAGTCTGTTCCCCACCCAAAGGTGCAAATTGCCCCAAATGCCTATACCTGTTAGAGAGGGAGAACGAACAAACACGAAGCATAAGATCAGAAAAGGTCAGAGTTAAACACTTAATGTCAACTCTAAGCAAGAGTTCATAAGATTTCCTATTCAAATATGAATGTCAATTTTCTTCATAATTGAGAGGTGGTCTACCTAAAAGGATGGAAGCGATGGCGCCCTGTTCCTCTAAATCTTAGTGGACCTTCTGGATTTGCTTCACATATTTGCAAGCGATTGAAACAGTCAGCGAGGTAGCTACCTTGTTGAGCCGCAACCTAGAGTGTTAAACAGTAATGACAGAAGCATAAGATAAGGAATAGAAGCATATAAACAAGAGAAAAACAATCTCTATATATATTCATTCACCTGTGCTGTAGCAGGAAGATTTTTCATCTGTGAGTCTACTTCAGCAAGTAATTTCTTAAACTTTTCGATGTTAATTTCAGCAACTTCTTCTGAATTCTTTAGTAAAGCATTAAAGTTTTTCAACTGCTTTTTCTTCAGATAAAGCTCCACTTGAGGGTACCTCTCACATATGTCTTGGATCACTTCTTTAAAATCTTCCACTCTTAGAGTACCTGAATTGTTCTTGTCTGCCTTGCTAAATATGATTGAAATATCTTCCTGAAATGTATATTTCAACACTATATAAATGAACGGAAAAGCTCAGAACAGAAACAAACGAATCAAAATACCACAAGTGTGAGCATAATAGTATCAATTCCTGATCTTGATTTAAAACGTCGTACCAATATGAGGGAGAGTGAGGGTGGAACAGGTAAGTGAAGTTAAGTTCCCTTTAGTACATTTAGGATTAGGAAATGAGAGTTGTTACAAGTTGAGACTTCTTCAGGTTCCAAGAAATGCTGCTAAATTGTTGAAATTCAGTATAAGAAATCAAAAGCTAAGGATCGAGTATAACTTTACCATGACACTGCGTTGGTTTACTGTGGCGCAATCACCTAGAGCATAAATCTCTTTGCACCCTTCAACTCTGAGCCATTCATCCGTTGCTAAGATTCGTCTGTTTGTCTGCAAACCATCAACGAAAACAGATTGGTACGAACGTGAGTTGGTGCTGAAACAAGTAAAGGTTAACAAGAAATGCAGTGATACTAAAATTGAACATACCTGACCAATTTGCTTCATGAAATCCATAACGACAGGGCGAGATCCAATGCCAGTAGCCCAGACACACATTCCATATGGTATGGTAACAGTTTGGCCAGTGCTTCTCTCTTTGGTTGATATTTCACGATCACTTACTTTCACCACCATTGATCCAGTTTTCAGCTCAATACCGTCCCTAGCAAATTTTTCCTCAGCAAAAGCAGTAATTCTTTTGTCAAACCTGAAATGGTGAAATTTTGAACAGCTTATTGCAGATCCTCACAAATAGATGAGCAAGCAAACAAGTTACGAGCTTTAATATTGTATGAATTGCACCAATTGATCGAAAAGCATATTTCAATCTTGCTGTCAAAAACTATGTGCTTGGACTGTCTGATCCAAATCCGAGCAACATAGGTTCAAAATCCAAAAGCTATAATGTAGTATGTGGAGAGAATGTTACTTACATGTTCAGTATATTATCTCCGGCCTCAAGTAGTGTTATACTGACGTATTCTTTAAGTGCAGGATACAACTTGGCGAGATCCTCTTTCACAAAATCGTGAAGTTCTGCAGCAAACTCCACACCTGCTGGACCACCTCCAACAACCACAAAGTGAAGAATTCTCTTCCTCTCGGCTTCACTTATGCTTGGAAGGCTTGCCTTCTCGAAACAATCTATCACAGTCCTACGAATTTTCTGTGCATCTTCGACTTCCTGCATTGAAATATCATTGCTTGCTCTTCAAAAAACTATATAAGGTGTATCTATATTTATAGAAACTATATAAGTATTGGTTTAGTTTATGCTTGGAAGGCTTGCCTTCTCGAAACAATCTACCACAGTCCTACGAATTTTAGTTTATGCAAGATCGAGTCACAAGACTCAAATGTACCTTCAGAGACTATACTTCAATTCAATATAGTTACCTTTAGAAAGTGTGCATTCTCCACAACACCAGGGGTGTTGAAAGTATTTGCTCGAGCGCCCATAGCAATCACCAAGTAGTCATAATCTACGGTAAACTCTTCTATTCCACCACCCAAATGATTTGGTTGGGTTGTTTTACAGTGAACTTTCTTGTTTACTGTGTCAATCTTGAAACACTCAGCTTCCTTGAAATCAGCATCAAAGTTTTTCTGTTACACATAAATACGCGACAAGGCATCAGTAAGGGTGAAGATGAAAAACAACAAACATTAGATCAGTGATGTGTATAACCTTTTTGACAATATTACGAATTGGTTCTACGATGCTCCTTGCTTCAACTGTGCCACAAGTAACACTAGGTAACAGAGGAGTAAAGGCAAAATAGTTGCGAGGAGACACGACCTGGACAGAATAAGAAGGGTCTTTCAAATTCTTAAGAAAACTTGTTCCTGCCCAGCCTGTTCCAAGCACTACAATTTTCTTCTTCTTAATAATATCATCTTGACCTGCATCAGCAAATGCAGTGTGACATACAGTAGCTAGCCCTCCGCCACTGCAAATTCCAAAGCAAATCAGTCGATCATAAATAAATTAGTGCCTGCGATATGAATCATCTATGTATTCCACTATATTCAGGTTTCCATTAGAGAAAATTCCAGGCAAATTTATATTCAGCACAAAGATTAAACAGAAATGAGAACTGCGGTCACACCTTCAAACAATTATTTGCAAAATATGACAGGTAATTGAAGAAGCAAATAACCACAAGTGTCTGGATTTGCTGAAATCAGTGGCGGGAGCAAGAATTTTCACTAAGGGGTTCAAAATATGAAAAAGTAACCGACGTGGTGGAAGCCAAAGTAGGTTCAACATCTACTCAATATATATATATATAATTTTAACAATGTATAAACAGTGTAAGTTTCATTTGCAGAGATTCAAATTCATCATCTTTGTGTCTATTATGAATGTAAGTTTTTCTTTAGAAAAACAAAATTTGAATTCAGAATTTAGTTTTCACATCCAAAGATGCAGAGTGTTACTGTTACCTACCCAAATTGTTGACTTTAAAATGGCACTAGTGAATATGATGAGCAAGTATAAAAATGCACATTCAATTTCAAGCTATCTTACTCTCTCTCCGTTCACTTTTACTTGTCCATTTGTCACTTTCAACATATCTTTAAAACGGAACTCTTTTTATGGTTTCAACATTGCGCACACAATTCAATAACAAATCGAAATGATAATTATTATTTTTTCATATTTTTATATTATGGCAAAATGCTCAGACCAATCATTCCAAAATAGTAACAGTTTTCGAACCCAATAAATTAACACTATTGTTGTACAATTCCGGACTTGTACCCAAAAATGGTGCCAAAAATGTTTTTATGCTTTGTTTTATATATAAGATGTTGAATCTCCTTCGTACACGAGAAAGTAAGTCACCGGTTCAAAAACTGTTATAGATCCAAGTTTTGAATCTCATGTACTATAGTGCTATTACATTTATTTTTCGAATCCCACAACAAACAAGACAAATAAAAATGTTAAACAAGCAAATGCTAAAATGAGAAAGAAACTATAGATTATGACACTAAACAAACACACAAAATTGGAAATATAGTTGACATACCTAACAGTGAAAAGCACAAGAAGTTTAGGAAGATGAGGGTAGTCATTGAAAGCCCTAGAGGCCCTTTGAAAAAAACTATACCCACTCATTATTATTATGTTGCAACCCTAATGAATTCACTCTTTCAATTTATATGATAAAGAAGGAAACTAGGGAGAAATTTGTCAAAATTTTCAAACTTTCCATACATGAACGTAGTTACAGCATAG